GTGACTATGAGTCAACTAGGGGGCCAAACAATATTGTTTTCCTTTGGCGTCCCTTTAAACCAAGTCTGAACTGAGTTGCAAACTCCAAGAAGAAAAGAGAACCCAATGAGTGGCAGCAAGTTCGGACGCCCTGACCTCCTCTGCGCCGCCCATCGCCAGATCCCGCGCCAGCGACGGGGAGCTCGGCGGCTGCAGGTTTCCCCGGCCGCGGCCGGACACGGGGCTCGCGCCGCGGCTGCCGCGGCGGCTGCGTTGGTCGCTGCCGGCGGGGCTCGCGCCGCGGCTGTGTATCCGCTCCAGGACCTCCGCGCTGGGCTTCTCCTGGACATCGGATTGTGGGGCTCTGGCGCAGGGCGGGGTCTCTGGCTGTGCTTTTGGGATGAGCTTGCCCTTACATCCCTGAAGCACCTACACAAATCCAGGTTCCCTATCCTATATACTGGGAAGCATGCACCTTCGAACTGTTCCAAAAAAACAAGTAATAACTTAAACATGTTTAACAAATGTGTGGGTTCAAACAGGCAGGTTTAAGCATCGAGAAAAAGAACGGTGACTTAAATTATGGTTGAAACAAGGGCCACACCATCGTTTGCCTTTCGAGTCAACAAATACAATGTAGAAGCCCTCTTAAGGGTTCCTTCATTGGTTTTTTGGACCCCTGATCTGTTCTTTGATCATGGCCAATTGTCCGGCCCCGGACGTGCTTTTTTGACCCTGGACCTGTTCCCCATTTATTTCTTCAAACGGGTAAACCCGCCCCACCCATGTTTCTCACCATCCAAGTGAGAGAGGGTTCTCCTTGGACATGCCGTGACATGCCGTTTTTTGGTTTCCTTCTGATCTCCTTTTGAAGACTTCAGTTGCAGCCGCCACCAAAGCAACAACTGATTGTGAAAGTTGAGCAACTGTTCTTGAACAATCCAGAACATCGCCTTTTGGCTGGATTCCACTTGGCTTTAGCTTTGCGGGTGATTGTGGTTTCCCTTTGACTTTCGTGTAAAACTCCTTCCGCCAAACACACACATATTCCTTTTCACGTCCGTCTTCAAGGTGATGTGTGGTTGTTGCTTCTAAGTGCCTTTTTCACCTAACAAGCAAATAAATGTTTGTGGGTTGCTTTGTCCGCCTGTTTCATAACCCAACCCTGCAGCCCCAAAAACATTTAAACACACACGCACACACACACACACGCTGGCCTAAATGTTTAGTTTGTATTGTCGGCTTAAGTTCTTCTGCTGACCCCCCTGCCCCAAACTAAACATCACCCAACAAAGCGTGCCATTTGTACAAGCTAGCCCAATTTCAGGCCGCTTAAGAGCTAAAGGAGAAAAACAAAGAGAAACAAACGCCGTGAAAGCAAAGGAACCAGCCCCCCCGCCCCCCGGTCTCCCCACCAATGGGAACCAACCCTGGATAGTAAAAAATCCTCGTTGATAGGAGGTTCGTTCAGCACCGTTTGGAGGGGACGGGTTTCGCCCGACTTCGCCCGAAAGGCTCCTCGGAGTTCTCCGCAGCCTCCAGCAGCAGCCGCAGCGCTTTGTCCAGGTCCCCCCGCGAAGCCGCCAGCGCCTCCCGTGCAGCGCGCTTGGCAAAGCCCATCTGCCGCAGTTGCTCCTGGCGGAGCACAAAACAACGGAGTGGGTGGTCGGTTTGCTTGGTGGTGGTGGTGGTGGTGGTGGCGGTGGTGGTGGTGGTGGTGGTGGTGGTGGTGGCGCTGCTGCTGGTCAATTGTTTGTGGTGATTTGTTGGAGCTGTGCTTGTGCTTTGTCATGTGTGTTCTGCGGTGTTTTGTGGTGGCTGGTGCGGAGCCCGCAGGTTAGAGAGAAACGCGTCGTCCTCACCAGAGGGTGCAGCGCCACTTCGGTACTTGAGTGTTTGTTGGTTGCTGTCGATAGTGTCACTACCAGCTGTCGATAGTGTCACTACCATGAGTATGGTTGATGAACATCGCAATGAGTCCCTGGCTCGGGCCGCTGGTTGGGCAGTGTTTAATTTGTTGAGCCATTGTTGCCGTTGCTTGGTGGTTGTGCTGGCTGGTCTGTCACAAAGACCCGCAGTGTCCACTGCACCAAAGGCCCCTCCCCCTTCTTCCTTCATTTTACCGAGCCACGGCCATGCGCGCTGTGGTCGGTCCTGGGCCTCCGGGTACTGGGACTTGGAGGCACTTCTGCCCGGGCGCTCCGCAGACCGGGACCGCGGCCGAGACGGAGCCTCCAGGCCCGCCGGGGTGCTGGAGCGGCTGCCCTTGTCCTCTTCACGCCTATGGGTCCAAATGGATCCCCAATCCGTCCTACCACAAAAGAAACCACGAGAGGGCCCCTTTTTGTTGCGCTTGACGCAATGACACTGTGAAACCAAGTTTGGTACTTTTGACACTTTCCTGTATCAAGTAGAAACAACGGGCCAAACACTTCCGCGCTCGACGCGCCCCCTGCCTATTCTTCTTCTTCTTTTTGGAGGTCGGAGTGTCTTCCTCCGCCTGGCCCTCCCATTGCGTCTCCTTCTTCTTTCTCCTGGCCTCGCCCTCCGACTCAACGGCCACCGTGCCAGTGGGAGGAAGGCTGAGCTCCGCCTCCAACTCTGGCAAAGCCTTTGGCTCGCCTGAGGGCACGCGAGCAGAGTCCTGATGTTAGGCTGAAATTGTACCCTCCCGCAAATTAACATGGAACCTGACATGGGGGTCATGGAAGACCATGTTCCTTTTACAGGGACCCCCTGTCAGGTTCCATGTTAATTGGTGCGAGGGTACCCTCTTTGCATAAAAGAGAGGACAAAAGGGTGTTGGAAGACCGCCAGCTTGAAGAGGCCCCTTGTCCACTTCCATGCTGGATGGAAAGAGAGCAACGTGGACCGGGTGTCGTGTGGAACACCAGAGTTGGTCTGCGGAATGGGTGAAAGCAAACAAATTCCATTCGCCTCGAAATATCACCCAAAGGGAAGCTCACTTTTGGTTGGGCGAACTTGGGTGTTGGCCCCTCCCCCCTCTTCCTTTCCTCAGTTGCGTGGCCATGGAAAATGACTTCTTCTTTTTCCGGGCATATCCTCTTTTAAAGCCACACAAAAACAAGCTCCACACTGCCAAAATCTTCAAACCACTGTCTCAGCAAATCTGCAGGCCTGACAAGGTTGAACTCCAACCTTGCCAACCTGCCAAAACAATCATAATTTACTGCCAGGAGGTCAAATGCTTCCAACAGCAACCCACAAAACCCACGGGCCAACTCGCCTAGATCATCCAGGGAGTCCATTGGACTCCCCACCGCAAAGTCCAGCTCCGGCAGCCGCTCCTCGCGAGAAAGACGGCAACAGGCGACAGGCGAAACGGCCAGGGTGCCGTCCCTCCAAAGACTCCTCTGCCATGGAAGAGTTTGCACCTTTGAATTTCTTGTTCTTTTCAAAAAAAAAAAACAAGGTGCCCGAAAAGCATTTGACCAAGGGGAGCCATCCTTAGCCACTTGTCCCTAATCCCGCTGCCAGTCGCCAGAATTTAGCTTGGAACGGTGTAGTGGTTGACCCAAATGATCTAACGTTAGAGGTGGCGTCCAAACCCGGGAGACCAACCCACTCATGATTGAAACCCATGGAAAATACTCGTGGAAACACAATGTAAAAGGCCGCCCGGCCATTTGGCCGTTTTGGGCTGGCATCAACAATTGGCCACTTGTTGTTTTCCTTCCGGTGCAACCCCGTTTTGTCATGGAAGATCACACATGGGTGATTTCCTCGTGTGTCCTTCCAAAGCAACACAATAACCAAGGGAATGCTCGAAGCAAAATCACACGCACACACACACACACACACACAACTTTTGTTTGGATAACCTCCCTCTAAATGATTCCTATCAGCTGGTTTATTTTGGTGGTCGAGAGGAAAAATGAAGGACCCCGCAAAAGGGCACAACAAACAAAGAGGTGAGCTAAGTCTGGCATTGACCTGTCTCCAACCCTGTTGGGTTCTCTTTGAAGGATCATGGGGCCCTTTTTGTGCAAACGCATTTTGCCCGCAAATCGTTCTGGGGTCCCCAATTTTCAGGGCAAGCAAAGGAAGCCGGCCTGAAGACGTTCCAAATTTGACTCGGAGGCCTGTAGCCAGGTAGCCATGGCCCAAAAACGGGCACCCGGTTTTGTTCATTTTGGAAGCCCTCCAACAGGAAAACAAAGCGCCAGTCTGGGTTGGGGAGACCGGTCTCCCACGTCCTCATCTATCAGCGCCTGCAGCGCATCCACACGCAGCTCCATGTGGCCCATGAGCTCGTCCCGGGGGTCATCCCACCGGGTCAGCTGCGTGCCAACCTGGACAAACGGCAACACACATTGGGGCTGCCGGAGTTGAGGGTGGCTCCGACTTGAAGTTGCTTCAAAGAAAGCCTGATGTGCTGCCCCAAATCATTTGGTTCAGCCTCCCTGGACATCCATCCAAAAGGAGCTAGGCTTTGATGTCTAAAGGGGTATGGCAAAAACACGAGAAGCAGAGCATGCAAACCATGATCTTGGGCGAAGCTTTCGCAGGAGCTCTTCGGCAAGCCCGCACCTGCAACCGGCTTCAAAACCCACGGGTCTTGCCCAAAATCAGCGCCTTTGGATTGAGAGATTCGACAATTTAATCAGCACCCCCCTCTTGAGAGCGGCCTCTTGGATTCTTCTTCATTTAAAGGATTGAACTTGAATACTTCCATTTCCAGAACCAATGGTGGCTCATGCAATCCAGTAACCAGCAGGGTTGCAATTGGGGTTCCCTCTACATGGGTCCTTTACGGTGTAGCGGGAACCCCTAAATCGAGGCCTGCCAGCCACCAAATAATTTTGAGGGTCCCAAAGGCAATGACACCACAAGATGGGTGATGTCGTTTTAGTTTGCCTTCAACCAAATGACCTACCCAGGTCCTCTTAGTTTGTCCCATGGCTTTGTCCTGTGGTTTTTTTCCCTACGTTTTGCATTTGAGCGCGCTGGATACTTGTTTGCCCCATTTGCCGGATAGACATGGGAGAGTTCGTGAGCCCTCGGGTGCTTTTTGAGACTTGACCTTTGGGTATGTGCCACCCAAAAGAAACCCATCCTTTGAGGGGACCGTTTCATGTTGCGAGACATCCCCAAATGCACACACACACACAGGTGAACCGTTCGGTGGACCCTAAAAATGGCAAGGGCTTCCTTTTGAAACACTGACAACCGTGCCGCCGTGTTGTTCAAGGAACCAACCTACCATAGACCAGGCGCGCCCCCAGCCCCTCCCCCCCAAGCCCCCCAAGAACAACAACAAAAAACAAACTCTGAGGGTTCCCACGCGGCCCTGAGTCATAGTTTGGTCCCCCCGCACTCGCCTTGTAGAAGTATGGCGTGCCGTCGGCGGCCGCGTTCTTGCGCCACTGGGAGAGCTCCTCCTCTCCCTGGGCACGGAAGGCCTGGCGCATTGCGAATTCGCCGGGCTCGGGGTCTGCTTGTTGAGGGCTCCTACTTTTGATTTATTTTTTGGGGGTATACCTGTTTGATCTTTCAGACAGAAAGACAAGGATAAAAAGGCTGCGGGTTGGGGTGGGGCTAGGCTTGCTTTAGGGTTGGTTTATGGTGGTTTAGGGTGGGGTTAGCCGTGCTTTGAGGTTGAAGTAAGGCTGGCTTAGGGTGGTCTTGAGTGGTCTAGGGCTGGTTTAGGGTTGGATAAAGACTTGGTTTAGCGTTAGCTTAGTCGGTTTAAAGTTGGTTTAGGGTGGGTTCAGGGTTGGATTAGGGCTGGTTGGCTTCGGGCTAGTTTAGGGTCAGTTTGGGTCAGTTTAGGGGCGGGGGTTGGGGTTGACTTAGGGCGGTTTAGGCTGGATTTAGGGTGGGGTTTGGGCTGGTTTGGGCTAGTTTCGGCTTGGTGTAGGGTGGGCTTAAGGTGTGGTTGGGGTGGATTTAGGGGTTGGTTAGGCTTGCTTTAGGGTTGGCTTAGAGGCGGTTTAGGGTTGGTTTAGGCTTGGTCGTTTGTTCGCTTGCTTGCGGTTGCTTGCATGCTCGCTCTCTCTCTTGCTCCCTTGCTGGGCGGAACGCAGTGACACAATTTTCCGTGGAGGTGGAACACATGCCCGTAAAACAGTGACTGAACATGTATCTCGTGCCATCTTCCGTTCATTCAAGTCCATTGCCAAATCGGTGTGTGTTGTTTCAAGGGCACCATGTTTCGGGGATTGGAATAAGGGGAAATGCCCGTCGACCCATGCAGGCTGTGTCCACAAATGCAAGGATGCCCCTCTCCGCGGTCTCCAGGAAAGGATCTACCCTGAATTTGTTTGGGCCGGGACTGTGCCCAACCTTCATCTGCCCAGGTTTTGATTGTGGCTCAATTCGTTTAGACAACAAATCTTTGACGCGAACTTCCCAAACACTGCGTCCGCCAAACGGAGGGGCTGTCTTGGACAGATTGATTCTTTGATAATTTGTCGCCGCCGCAGAAGAGAACAGAAAGGATCGTCGTGGGGCCTGCGTTTTTCAAAACCGCAAGTGAACCTCGAGTTGTCCAAAAGAACTAAACAAAACTCGAGGGTTTTGCATGTTTCTCAAAAGTGTGAAAAACCTAGTTGTCACAAAGAAAAAACAACATGTAATATATAAATTAGAATGTCTACCTTACGTGCGATGTTTAACATGAACACCATTCCAAATAAGATGTGATGTCGACTAAAACATAAACATTGCTTAAATATACTTGAGTAAGGACATGGTTGGGTTGGTTTGCTTTTATCTTAAACCAATAGAACTGAAGCTGATGGTTTAACTGTCGATTGGTGTTGCGTTCTTTTTCAAGGGGCATTAGACGAAACAACCATACTTTGAATCTTGATTGAACTCCATTCTAAATATCTAGTCAATCTTCATCTAAACCACATGTTCAAGGAGTTCCTGTTTAAATATGTAGTTGAAGATGAATTGTATCTTTTTAAACACTCACTTGTGTGTTTATTAGTTTAGAGTCTGATCAAATGTTTCAAATCCTTGGACATGAATGCCTACCGATTCAAACTTAAGATAGGGATTCTACTTGAATATCTTCTTTGGTATTGAAACCCATTTGGACTCCAACCAGGAAAACCGAGGTTGTTTGCATTGCAGGGAAGACTGCAAAAGCCTCGAGATACCAAAAAAACAACACCAGAATAAGGACATAGAGCAATTCAAATGTCTACCTTGACTCCGAATTTTATATAACATGAACATCTGTCTAATTGTTTAGTGTAATGAGCGTTTAAATATGCTTAAGTAAGGACAATATTAACTCGTGTGCTTTTATCTTAAAGTACTAGAGCTGAAGCTGCGTGCTCCTTGAGTTTCTGTTGGTGGCTCATTCGTGCTAAGGGGCCGGCCAGTTATGAATATTTCAATTGAGACAAACAGTCTCCTTGAATTTTGACTGCTTAAACATGCATTTAAATTCTGATCAAATGGTCAAATTATTTTGGAGAGGAACTCCTACGTATCTAAAGTGAGTCGATTCCAAGATGGGAATGTGCAATTGAATATTGCCTTTTTTATTGAGGCACATTTCAGATCTAATTAGATCGTATTTGGAAAGAAGCTCCCACGTAAACTCTTCTGCTAAACAAATCACCTAATTGCATTGTTTTCAAAAACCCAGACCCCACGCCGACCCACTCTCCAAAGGAAAATCATTGGGTCCCCCCTCCCCCCACCATGTTTGGTAGATGAACTTGATCCAGCGATTTTTGAAGAGACGCCTGGATGCACCTCCAATCGCTCCCCTTGCGTTGTTCTCCTGTTGCTCAAGCCTTTGGATTGGATAAGTTTGCCAAACATCTCGAAAAGCAACCTGGAATCACTCATAATTCTGGAGGCAAACCTTTTGTTTCCAGGTATTTGCAGTCTGAACAGGACACACCTGTTCCCTTGAACATGCCAACACGCAAACTCTAGAAAGCGACACTTCTAACAACGGCCACTGTGTTTTTTTTGCAAACAATTTTGGTCACGATGAGTTGCAACGATTTGCTGCCACTTTCGGATGTCCAAGGGAAACTTAGGGGCCGCTTCCTATCTCAGGGAGTCCCGCCTTGGACAGTGTCCTTTCTGAATAGTTGGAATGAGGGATCCCCAAGGCATTCAATTCTTGGACATACTGAAAAGGGGGTGCTTCTCAAAATAATTAGGGCACCCGTTCTCTCAAGATGTTTAGTTTCGTTTTGGTTTCCCTCACTCTCTTAAAAGGCGGGCGGGCCCTCCCGCCCCATAGAGACTAGGTCCTCCAGTAGAGAGGTTGGAATAAGGGTACCCTTTTTGCTGTAGTCTATTTTAGTAGGGGAATCCTGCCCCAAAAAAGGGTGAAAGGGCACTACTGGTGGACCTAGGAGGGCTCGGGCCAGTCCGCCTCTAGCTCCTCCTCGATGATGGCCTGCTTCTCCGCAGGCTTCGCCTGTGAAACCAATGTGCAAAGCGAGCCATGCGGATGTGGGGTTCCGAATGGGTAGGCGCCGTACCCCCTTGGGGGTGGGGTTTACAACAAATAAAAGGAAATACCATGGACATGTTTTGGGTGTTCCCCTATTGACACATTTCAAATACCTCCCTCCAACAATCACGGAAGACACGAGGGTTTTGGAAGCTCGCTTTCCCTTTGGCAAGCACTGAAGCCATCGTTTGTAGAGGGATCTCCGATTCACCAGCTTTTTTGGGCTCCATGTGAATTTGCAGGAGGGGAACGAATCAACTAACCATCAGCACCCTTGTTGGGGAGGTCGAGTCTTCCCACAAGTTCAAAGGCGGAAAGCTCACACCTATGCCTCCTACACTCCGAATCGATGTGATGTCTCGAAGCCACTGTCAAAACTGCCACGGGGTCGGAGGGTCATGGGTCTGCTCATGGGTGTCTTAATCTGAAGGTTGATTATCTGCACTAGCCTCAAACCATGGTGCTTTGACCACAACACTGGCAGGAAACCGCTGGGTGTCCTGCCCTTTCCTTTTGACCACTACAATGTTGGCATCTGGACTGTCCGACGTACCAATAGGCAATGTTTGACCTCCACCAAGTGCGTCCTGCGATTTGACACCCATCCGCTGTTAGGCTTCGAGGAGAAACGGCCCGTGGCTGCTAGATATTATGTTCTGGCGCATGCAAACTGGTTTGTCTCAACAAGTGTCAGACAGTTGGGTCCCAAGTCTTTTTGTCCATGTTTCAAGCGCAAAGTGGAGAAACACACCCACTCGAGGGGTTCCCATTTGTAGAAAGCACCCAGAAAGGGGGGGGCCTCCCTATGAAATGACAACCTCGCCCTGATCGCAAATAAACAAAATAAACAAAAAAAACAAACAAAAAACACGCCCAACCTCCCATGGACCCCTTCTTTCCGGCACTCGGTGCGCCTCTCCGTCCGTCGGTCCCGTCCGGGTGCCCCCGGCCTGGGAGAGGCGCTGGAAGCTGCGGAGCAGCGCCTTGTGGCTGGGCGCCATGGGGTGCTGCCACACGGAGCTGCGGGAGGCCTGCCGGATGCGAGACGCGAGCGCAACCCAACATTTGTGGTTAGACCGGAGGGGGGAAGTTGGTGCTGTGGGGGTGCTTCCAGGTTCAACGGTGAAATTCTGAACTTTGTGGGGCAACGAGTTGAAACCTGGGGAATGTGAAACCCAGGTTCAACAAAAAAAAACCCTGGGGCAACGACCCTGGGGAAGGTGAAACCCCTGCTGATTGCTGGGAAACAAGCTTGATCTTGCCAGAACTGGGAACGGAAAAAAAGCGAGGACAGGGGTCACAGTAAGGGGGGGGCGAAGACTCTGGCCAATGAGGTGGATACGGCGTCCAAAGTCCTTGGACCACGTCGTCTGGTTCCAAACAGAACGCGATTGGCTGCCACTCAAGTCAGGAGACGTTGTCAAAAACTTGACCGAATGAGCCTGGTCCAAACTGAGATGGAGCATGGTCATGGAGGGACGTCCTAAAGACCTGGGGACCTTTTTGTGGATGTGCAAAGCGAAACCAAACGGAGGATCCCTTGAGGAACCACCTGGTTTCTGATGAACCTTGTTTACATCAAAAGACTGATGGCCATTCTTGTCAACCCCAATCGACCATGGCACAAGCGGGCAGGAATCCGTGTAGCGCACAGTGAACGCGTGGTTGCCCTTGAGCTTGCTGGCTGTTTGGCTGATTGGGCCATGCCTCAGGGCATCAGGGCGTCGCAACGGCAACACGGGACGGGCCTTGTTCCAGTAGAAGATGCGGCCTTTCTGGTCCGCATGCTCCGTCCAGGGCTCTGGCAAAGGCCTTTCCAGGACCTGCCAGTGGCGATATCACTTTGGAGGCAAGGCTTGACAGCCCCAATGGTTTGACCGATAGCTCCCATTTTTGAAGTTCAGGCTTCGTAGAAAGAACCAACCAATTGGCCCCTGATGGACTCGCACGGCCAATCAAAAACACTAACTTGAACCTTCCCACATCCTGTCACTTTCCCGCTCCTTGCAAAGGAACTGAAAGGCCGCCGGGTCTGCCGCGGCATCCAGGCCGATGCTCTTGGCGTGCGCCTCGGCCACCAACGCGTGGGGGTGAAACGTCTGCGGCGGCTTCGGCTTCCGCTTGGGGGCCATGGGTGCGGCCGCGAGCGGAGCACCCCGATGGCTGCGGCAAAGCAAGTCAGCAAGGCGCGCTCCTTGAAAAGGCAACTTGGCCCTTGCCTTGTGTCCGTGCGCGTGTGGGCTTGATTTACAGGTCAGAAAACCAAACAAGAACTGCTGCTGCTTGCTCGCAATGAAAAGCACCAGCACGGGCTTCACCCCGCTGATCATACGTGGTGCCCAACACGTCCACACTGGGCGCGTCAGATCAACATGAATGTTTGTGACGGAGCAATCATTCACTGAAGCAGCTTCGTGTCATAAGTTGGCCCCGAGTCACCAACCATCAGGCTTGTTTAGTTTTTGGCGCACCCAACTCTGCAGCACGGGCAAAACTAGCAGGCGTCCGCCCTTTTGTCTGACCTTTTGGTGACCATTGACCACCTTAAGGGAAATCAAGAGCACCTTTTGGTCTCAACGCGGGATCCTGTGTTGTTGAACAACCCTCACTTGTCACCTGCCTCATCGCATGCCTCGCTCGTTTTGGATCAATGCTCCGTGAAACCTCGTTATCCGAGGTCCTTCCCAGAGGTTTCACGGCTTCCTTTTGGAAGCCACCCTCATTTTGGGGGCCCCAGTTTGAGATACGCCCGTCTGGAAAGACCCTACATAGGAAGGCCTGAAGAACCTTCGGAAAACAATTCTCCGGCGTCAAATCGTTCGATTTGCCCGTGCTGCCGACTCCCGCTGCATAAAATTCCGGAGCTCTTCTCTGCTCACCTTGCCGTTCCCATCCGCGTCCGCACAGCTCACACATTGTTGAGCTAGGACCCGAGTAACATCCAAACCACCAAGCTTCAAGGACATGGCCACCATGATCTCATCCACATCCTTGGCTTGCCGGCTTGCCAGGTTTGCACAGCCTAACAGTGCCAACTTGTTGGATTGATGTAAAGGGATCATGAAGGAAACACAAAGGGTCAACAAGCACAAAGGGTCAACAGTTGGGTGTCCCGTTCAACGGGTTCTAAGAATGGGCAAGGACATCAGATGCGAAAAACACGTCCTTTCGTGCAAGCTTTGTGAAACACGTTCATTAGAACCCGTTGAGTCCGAATGTGGAAGGAATAGCTAGGTGAAAGTAGATAGCACAATTCCAACCCATTTTGGCTGATCGTCACACCCTTCACTACCCAAAGGGAAGTGTGCCATGGGGAAGTCAAAGGAAACCACCATTTCTGGGGTACCCCCAACTTTTAAACACACCCATCTACTTTCACCCAACTGGTAGTTGAGCTGTTGGCCATGCATCCAGCTCCCCGTTACCATCCGTGTCTGCGAGGTCGAAGAACTCATCTACCTCCTCCAACTGCACAAGTCCATCCCCGTCCACGTCACACAACGTGGCCCAGATCCTCAGCCCGATGTCCATGAAAAAAGGGGCATCACTTCTTCTCGGTTGATACAGGAGCCTTTCCCTTTTTATTGATTTTAAAAGGCGCCATTCCTTCTTGTTGATTTTTCATTGACACCCAAAACCCAAACAAAGTTGCAAAGGGGTGGGTCCATTTGGCAACTGGGGATCTTGTCGCAGAAGTATTGCACCAGCATGGGCAGGGCCGGCTGCCCCGTCTCGTCCGGCGCCACGTTTTCGGGGTGCGCCTCCGCGTATTCCTTCAGCACAGGGTCGGATCTCATCAAAAACGAGTCGATCACGATGCTGTACAGCTTCTCCGCCTGTGCCAGGGTGGGTAAGTGGGTGGCAAAATGATAGATTTCCCTCCCTTTTAATGGTGGGCGACCAACTGATCTCAACCTCCCCCCACACCTTCAATCCCATCCTTCTAAGTAGTCTTCTCCATACGTGGGTGGCACGTTTTTCGGCTTCTAACAAATGGGTTCCTTTCAGATTCAAAGCACGCATGATTCTCCTCCGGTGCAAGCCATCGGACCCCGCAATGCTTTCTGAATTTCGCGCTGCAGTCTGAACTTGTTCGTTCGACTCTCACGCTTTTCTGAAATTCGCTTCGCTGCTGGAACTCGTACCCATGTGACACAGACCCCCCCGATCTCTCCAGCCTCTATGGGCTGGCCCGCCACCTGGGGGTGCAATCAACAAGCGACCTCTGGTCCCCTTGAAGGGAAAACTGTGGGGATTCACAGTCGTTTAAACATGTGAGCAGCGTCCAAACCCCTCAACTTTTGCTTCTGCATGGTTACAAAGGTGACTTTTCGGCGTGGCTTCATCCCCTGAACCTTATTGGCTTAATCCACGGTTTAACACAAGGTCCATCCCAAAAGTTTCGAGAGAAACCACCAACAGGAAATTTGAGACCAGAACATGTTCTCCCTTAAAGTATCCCAGAACCAACAGCCCTGGCTCAACCCATTCTCATTCCCTCCTCGCAGAAAGTGAGCAAAAAAAACACCCCTTTCAACCCACTGACGTCTTTCCAACTCCAAGTCTTCGAACAGTTTCCACCTTAAACTGGAAGGTTTAAAATTTCAGGACTTTCCGCCATTTTCCACCCCTTCAACCTCCAGCAGGAACTCTGTGTCAGGGTCCGCCCGCATCAAATCGTCGAAGTGCAGCGCCGTGGAGGACGTCCCCGGCTCCGCCCCGGGGCGCGGGGACGGCGCCCCGTGCCAGGGCGCGCGGCTCTGACTCACCGCCTTGGACAGCACCGAGCCGGGCACCTGGCCATGGGTCCCGGACCAGGTGGACAGAATGGTCGGTTTAGGGTTTAGGGTTTAGGGTTTAGTGTCCATGTGCACCATGTGAGGTGTTCGTGTCTACAGGTGGGGGTGCCAACTCTTCACATTTGTAGTATCTTTTTGTGAGGCAAAACTGGCTGCTATGTTTCTTTTTGGGTGTGGGCACTTTGGGCTTCGAAGCCGGCACCGTCCTTTGCAGGTGCTTTCTGATTCTTCTAGCTGAATGATGAAGCTACAAGCAAGGGTAGTTGGACTGCTCATTTTAGTCCCATAAGTTGTCTATTTTTGCTAGAGGCACCCTTTTCAGGTTGGTTGAAAGGGAAACCACAGGGTCAACCCGGTCCAAATCCCTATTCACACATGGCCAAACAAATGGGTGTTTTAATGGGAACTCCCACCAGTTTGGCGGGCATCGCCCGTTTGACTGGGTGTGGACTTGGTGAAAACTGGGGCACAACACACGCAAGCCCAAGACCGACAAGATACATTTGTTTAGAGAATATATGAAGTCATAAGAGAAAGTCCTGTTCAACCACAGGCAAGCAATCTACAGTCATAGTCAGTTACAATCAAATCCTAGAATATGTCCAAGATGAATATAATCTACTATTTCTAGAGCTTCTTCAATCCAATAATTCCATTAATAAAAGATAGGTATGATGAACATAAATGAGAGATAACATGAACTCCAAAAGCATTATAAAGGAGAAGGTAATCATACAATATCTGTAAATCCTTGAAGTGATATCTGGAGGAAACGAAAGGAGATAAATAATACAACAAATCCAAATACAACGAAAATACCATCATAAAATAATACGGTTATACTGTACTAAGAAAAAGGGAATGTAAAAAATAGAATATATTAATTATGAATCTATTGGTAGCTTCTCCTTTAGAATCCATCATAATGAATCGGGGATTACATTATCTCTATAATATCATTTCCTATAGAATTCTATTATTTGCGCCATGAAAGTGGGATCAACTTACTGTTTGACCCTATTGGGGGTTTGCAAACACGGTCGGACCCTTGATTGATATCTTCGGCCAAACATGTTGGCTTTCGGGGGAGGTGACATTCACAAACAATAATCACATGCACACACCTCTTATATGGCAGTGTTTTTTGAGGTACCCTATTTTGGCACAGACCCACACGGGGGGTGTATTCGGGCTGCGGTTTGGATTGTTTTGAAAGCATGTCAGTTGGAAGTCAACAATTTTGGGTTCCCTCATTCAGAGACAAATTCATGTCACTGCGGCTAGTGTTAATTAGCGAATGTACCTGTCCGGTTCAACAAGGATACACATCTATGACACAGCCAATAATCGAAAACGTGCAGTCAGCACCCAATGTACATAGAAGCAATCTCAAGCAAGAGCTCACCAATTTCAGTCACTGCTCCGCAACACACTGCGTTAGTAGGCCGTTTGTTTGTTTGTTTGTTTGGCAAGCCCAGTTCATTGAGACAGTTACTTCGAACATGCAATACCACCGCGAGAAAATCACACTTGCATGAATGAAGCTACACTCACAGTGCCAAGACAGTACCAAAGCAACGCATGGCTTGGAAGTGGCTTCTAGATTACGTGGGCACATTGCTTAAGCTGGTTTTGCTCACGGCTCAACCCGCTGCATTGACCAGACCTCCACGACGATCTGTGCTGAGGGGAAGGGGCACTCTGCAGCAAGATCCGCAAAGCGCACCCGACCGTCAATGTAGACCTCGCAGTCGTGTGACACGTGTGACCCTGTCACTTCTGGTTGAAAAATTCCAAAGACACCGGCTCCCCTCGGGCTTTGCTCGGGCTTTGCTCGGGAGCCGGCTCCCCTCCGGCTCCCTCATTTCATCCGCCCTTTTGCAACCCTCGACTTTTGTTTCAACAAAAGTGGTCAGTTTTGAGAGGCTTTTGGCCCAGCGGACCTTGTTGCCCCGAATGTTACCGGCGTTGATGAGGGCGCCGTCCGTGCCGGCCACAGCCCGGAGTCCGGAGCAGATCAAAGTGGCCATAGTGCACTCCTGCGCTCGCGCGCCCACAGAGGTCAAAAGCGGATCGCTTGGCAGCACCGCCAAAGTGACCTCCTTCCTCAGCTGACAGGGATCTTTGGGAAGGTCACATCGTTTGTGAGGGCAACCTTTTCGGGTTGGTTTCAAAGGCAAGCCAAATGGAAAGCCACAGTGTGTGGGATCCCTTATGCTAAGCCACACACATTTAATCGTGGTCAAAGAGAAGAAGGACCTTTTGGCGTTTTGAAAGGGAAACAAAAGGCAGAAAGGGGTGAAACGAACTGGGCAGCTGGGCTTCAGTTCCTCCGCGGGTCTCTGATGAGTCTTGACGCACTCCTGCAATTCCGGGTCTGCGGCAAATCCCTGCTCCACAGATGTCAGGGGAATCATCTGCACTGACACCGTGGGGGCGGACTGGGCTGGAGTGCCCGCCGCCCAAAGGAGGTCGACCACCGCCACATTGAAGGCGTCTGCTCCTGCTTTCACGATGTGAGTGCCGTTGTGCTCTTCATTGAAAACTCCGTGGTCGTGGCCTCCTAGAATGACCGGAAAAAAGAAATCGCGCTTTGCCAGTTCAATATCATCTGGCATGTTTTGATGAGTCATAGGAACAATGCAGTCTGCTTCCGGGTACGCATGTTGCGTGCGTGCCACAGCATCTTCCACAGCCTCCAGCACTGGAGTAATCTTGTTGGCATGACCATTGAAGGCGTCCTTCCTGTACAACGCGGCGTCTTTGCCACCGCCACATAGAAGCCCGATCAGTGCCACTGATCGCCCTTCGGCCAATTTCACCAAGTGATGGTCTGCGAGCTTTCCTTCAAATGCCGACTCCTCTGAGAGGGATGGCATGTTGGAGTTCAGCCACACGCCATTAAACTCTTGTACACGTTGGACCAAACTAAGAAAGGGAATATCGCTTTCGTGGTTGCCGAAGCAAACAGCGTCTATGGGCGTAGCATTCATCACCGCCACCATCCCGTGCCCGTGGTCGATTGACGACAATAGCGAGGGCGCCACGAAGTCTCCACCCAGTGTTGTCAACACATTTGTTCCCTCGCTCATGGCTTTGATGCAGCTTCGAAGGAGGGGTAAATTGTCCAAGGAGTATACATCGTTCACGTGAAAGATGCGGAGCCTGCATTCCGGCAGTTGATCGGCCGGCGCTGCCGGCTTCTTCGGATCTTCATCGATTGCCTTGGTAAGTAAGACGCTGACTGCCCCTCCTCAGGCTTGAAATGGAAGCTTCCGCGACCCATTGGGAGGAGGACTTTCCTTTTCAAAGGGGCACCTGGTGGTTTCCATGTTAGCCTGAGGGTAGGTGACTCACACTTAAGGCTGGCACATTCACATCCTGACCAGATTCATCTGCTTGTGCAGAGGGCGCAGTCGGCACCACCTTGGACATGCAATGCGTAGCATACTTGCGTGTGAACTGGGTTGCTCTTCCCCCTCAAGCAAAAGGTCTTGCCTTTTGAGGTTCACTTAATCATTTGTTCCCGAAACGTCTAAGGTGACAAGGTCACACCAAAGGCCAGCCAAGTGAACATCCAACCAACCACAAGGGTTGCTCCTGCAATCTCCCGCAAAGACCACAAATTGCCGGATATGCTGAAGGTCAAAACACAAAAACGAGCTTCGGAACTTGGCCGACATCTCAAAACCTGTACCTGCACTAGCACCTGCCGGCAAGCCCTGCCAGCACCTGAGTCGCGGAAAACAAACACCCCGGTCTCTCTTTGGTAGCCATATAAGGAATTCGTCAGGATTGAACAAAACCCCTATGGCCTTCAACTATTCAGGAAGGGAATGTGAGCTGCACCTGGTGCTGAACCAACCATGTCGAACAAGCGACTGGATCAGGAGCTACAGCTGCTTGTGATGACCCGCAGCCCATGGCAACGTGCCGAAAGCGCAGCTTGGGCCGGCAGCAACGGCGAACTGTTTGCAAACACGGCGATCCGCATGCAAGAGCGTGCTCACAAAATCAAGCCTCTCCCTCCCCACGGCGCGATCTCCCCTTTTCTATGCTAGTGGCATTTCGCAGTTGGCGACTAACTGTTTTGACCAGAGCATGGATGATGAGTCTTGACCGTTTAACGGTCAAGACTCATCATCCACGCTCTAGTCAAAACCGCTGCATGCTGGACGGTCACCAATCGTGATGTGTAGTTGTCGGAAATGCGTAAGTGAGAGATGGCCATCCCGGCATTCCATGGCACGTTTGCTGTTGCGGGGATGACATGGAACGCAATCACCACGTTACATGACAGAAGAACTGAGAATGAGTTTCGACTGGACCTCGAATTTCACGTGTTCGAAGTGCAGCCACGCTGTGAGACTGTCGGTCATCTCACGCGAGGGATGTCAATTCGCCCGAGCAACGGTCAAGACTCATCATCCGCGCTCTGGTCAAGCCCTGTGCGCGTGACGCTGCCCGGTGCTCCGGAAGGGCTGTTCAAAATAAGGGGATCTAATCATCATCCGAGACACCAATAAAAGGGAAACCAATACTATGTTGCGTAAGGATTGAGCATGACGCTTTTTTTTGCATTTATTTTGAACCACAAATATCCCCCCTAATCTTCCCGGGACATGTCACGAGGGTTTCGGGAGCTGGTGTGGAAAAACAGGGGTCGCTGGCTCAAATCCCCTTTGCCGGCTGCGGGCTCTTTGCCGGCTCGGGTCTTCCCCTCCAGGGAAATGAAGGGAACATGGAGGGGAAATGAAAGGGACATGACAGGGCAACGAAGAGCAATGAAGTGAGGGGAGATGAGGGGGACATGCATGGCAATTGATGGAACATGAGGGGGCATGAAGCGGAAATGACAGAGAAGAATAGGAAAACAAGGGAAAAAAGGGGGACATGAAGGGAAATGAAGGGACAATAAAGGGGCATGTAGGGGACATGAAGGGATATGGAGAGAAATGAAGGGACATGGAGGGAAATTAAGGGCAAACTAAATTGAAAAGGCAACGCAGGGAATTAAGCGTAAATTAAAAGGACATGCAGAAATGAACGGAAAATGAAGGAGGGGACATGAAAGGGAATTGAAGAGAAATGAAACGGAAGTGAAAGGGAATGAAGAGCAATGAGGTGGAAATGCAGGGAAATGAAGCGAGATGAGGGGGCAATGCAAAGGAAAACGAAGGGGAAATGAGTTGACATGCATGGGAATCTACTGGGAAATGAAAGGAAGACTGCGCGCGGTACGATCCAATATGATTTGGAGTGTGGATGGGGCTTTGTGCACACAAATATGTCATTCAGCATCCCTGAGTGGCTATGACTTTCAACATGGCTACTAACAACACGGCTAAGATGGACGCAACGCGCTTTGCTAGGGCAACTAACTGGCAACTTTGGCTTCTTCAAAGTATTGTCAGGTCCGACGTGCCATGACATGATCGTGGGCTATAAGAAGCTGGATGTGACAAGACGAGGAAATTCGCAAAGGCAGATGGGGTATGCGCTTTCGCAACTTCATACTAATAAGTTTTGCGGACCACAAGCCATGAACGTTGGGCCACCCTGGTGTTCGCTCGCCTGTGAGGCCGCATGTGGCTGGGTGGCTGGGCAAAGGTGTCGCGCCTCAGAGCGGGCCGTGCTTCTTCCAATGGCTGATTGGTAGTAATCCCCACTTCCAAGCATTGCCCGAGACTGTTCACCGGATTTTTGCCGATCATGAGGATGAATTAGAGAGCTTCCAAAAATCACAGCCAAAAGCTTGCTTTGGGGATCAAAAACACTGCAGAAATTCTGGATGTCAAAGCCCTCTTGGTGTTGTAGACAAACGGTGTTACGTAAAGCACAACACCAAGACACGCCAAGACGGCAACACCCAACAACACTTGTAGACGACTTGATTGGATGGCACAGCCAATAAGTCGACGCCGAATCAACCACCGGCAGGATGGCGATCCCATCGCAGGCGAAGTTAGTTTGATCAGGATGCACGTCACAGCAATTATTGTAAGTGCTAAACCCTGTCAAAAGAAAAAACGGATGGCCCCTGGAAAAAGCGGGGCATACCAATTACACACACTATGACGATAGGATCATGAAATAACTTGATTCGACCCCCCACAACCCCAGAGCAACCGCTGATTCTCATGCCAGAAGGAAGAGGGATCCAAATCTGGCAAGGAAGGGGTACCTCTTTTGGGGACTTGCTGAAACCCACAGGGGTTGTTTCAAAAAAAAACGGACATGCAACCTCAATCCGGATTCCTTTGGCTCTCCCTACACTGAAAGACCCTCCAAATATGGCTCCGCCCCAAGAGGGGTGCCCGAAGGCTAGGGCAAAAATCAACCCATGGATCGATGGAGCAAGGATTCGCCGATGGAACTTAGCCAACTCTCCCGGGCGCCCAGCAGCTGAGCGTGTGGGTGCAGCGGCACACCGTGGCACCTCACCTAAGCCGAAAAGCGAGCGAGCGCCCATGGGCCCTGACCCTCTCAGAGGACTCCCACATGCCTTTGTCCAACGCGTTGCTCGGGTTCGGAAAAAATGACCTGTAGTCCCCGATCAAAGGTCAATGGCAACTGAGAGGCGTTGCCGTGAGTGCCCATTGCGACGAGACTGGTGGCCGTCAAAAAGGTAGAGTGTTTGGCTTGTCAACCTCCTGGAGCTCTTCAATGGAATGCCGGCGGCTAGCTGCGAGCATCAACATGTTCCCACCAAGGGTCATCAGCAATCTTATACGGGACAAAAGGGACGCTTGCCCGCTTTGGGTTCTGAATGTTTGACTGATTTATCCAGCTAAGCCAGCTGGACATGGGGAGACCAGTGGGGACACCAACCCTTAGCCTTGTGTGGAAATGGGATGGCATTCCTTGAAAGAGGCAAGGGGGCTCCTCGGAGTACGTGGATGGTTTGCATAAGGCTGGGTAAAAACAAGCACAGTGGGACACTGGAGCGAGGCAGCAAAGCATTGGCTTCCTTCTGGTGAATCTGACGGTCAAGTTATTCAATGGATGGTCAGCTTATGATGGCTAATGCCATAAGCCTTGGGAGTTACCAGTGAATGCAGTCCCATCCAAGGTGTTGTTCTCCAAAGTACACAAGTAGTTGAGTGCTTGCAGGGTTGTTCTTAGGTTTTTGTTGTTTTCTGGCATTACCCTTTCGGGAAATCATCCCAAATGGTCAAATCTAGGCTTCATGCCCACTTAACTTAACTTTTTTGTGATAATCCCAGTTCAAACAGAGCCCTCTGACTTGTTCGGTCCAGGAGAAAACTTTTCACCAGCATAGACACGATTCCCCCAAGATGGGGAAAGAGCTGCAAGGAACCCCCCAACTTCTTGGGCCCAGAACCCAATTCTCATTTCGGATCCTTTCGGCCTGGGCATTTGGGGATCCTTTCGGTGGTTCCTTCGAAGTCGCCCAAGATGTTTGGCCCAGGATCCCGGCCCTGGTGCGCAGAGCTGCCAGAGCTGCGCAGCACACTCCCTGCCTCACCCCGAAGCAGTTGGATCGTCGGCTTTCTTTGGCTGGGTGCCCTGAGCTAAAAGATACCACTTGAAACTTGAGATCTGGGACCTGATGGATTTGGAACTTGACTTTGCCTTGAATCGGAGGAAAACCAAAGGGAAACCACCCATTGCGTGGGGCTATACCAGTTGAGGTCTGCCAAAAAAACTGCCACAAACAAATGATCATCCTCACAAACCACCACCCCTAGAGGGGAAAGAAAAGGACTCATCCCTCTCACTTTCAGTTCATTAGATTCATCCAATGAACTTATGTTCCCAGTTCTGTCCGCTCCCCTTGGGCATCCTTTGTTTCTGCGCGAGAGTACCACGGCACGCAGCCTGCTTTGGCGGCGCGCTGCCTGCTTTGGTGCCATACGACTCAATCCGCCTTTTCAGGCGGTCCGGAGAGAGCTGCAACCATCCCCTGCACAATCTGGAAAAACCAGTAGGAGAACAACAGGCTGGGCAATGGCAGTGTCACCATGGCCAGTCCATACACCACCACGTTTACATCTGTCCAATAGCTCTGCGAGGCGAGCAGTGAGCTCAGAAGGGCTGGCCCAGGAAGCACTCGCACAACGAAGAAGGACATCACCATTATTAAGCCACAAACTGTTCGCGTGGAGCCCATGATGTTGTACTTTGGCAGGAAATATGCCACCAGCCAAAGCAAAGGCGTGCTGAGTTCTGCAGACATCATGTACAGAACGTAAAAGCAGCCGATTCCGTGGTGGTAGCTAATAGGCCATATCAAGACACATAGCGCGTGATGGGCTATGAATAACACTCCTAAAGATTGCTCAGCCACGAGGCAACCATAGCCCAAGTCATACACAAAGTATCCAAGGATGATGGGCATTGCCATCTGCAGCGTCATCGAATGGCCGTGGACCGTGTCGATGCTCGGGGCGAACCTGCACACCTGTTGAAATGATGTGGCGAAGGGCTCTTCCGTCAACAAGCCCAGTGCCCCAGCAGGTCCAGTCACGGCAGCCTGAGTCGACGCGATCACGTAGTTCGTCCATTCCTGGCGGTCCCCGGCTTTGTCCTCAGCCCAGTGGCCATCGCAAAAAGAACAGCGGCGGCATTTTTTTGGGGGGGTTGGTTGCCTTTAAGGCAAAAAGACCTCAAACAAAAAGACAAAAAGTTGCACCACTTCGTGTCTGGGTCCGTCCCATGAATTCTGCCGGCGACGAGCTGAAGTGCGATGTGCGCCACACAGAAAACGCATCCCCAGCCCACCGAGGCCGTCAGCAACGCCAAGGTGTCGCTCATGCCGAAATCACCGGCCCCGAACCGGCCCAAGGGCCGGTAGGCGCCACCAAGAGGAAGCCCCTTTTTAAGGCTTGACGGCAGCGAAACGAACCTAGACTCCACGAAACGAATCCGGGCCGAAAAGAATGGGGTCAGTTGTAACAGCTGGGGCATATCTGAAACAGCTTTCACTCGCAAGGCACCTACAGTCAAAGCTTCTCCTGGCTGAGTTCAAGGCAAGCCCCTCCAGCACAGCTGGCACCGCCTTCTTCCGCCACACCTTCTTTGGCCTGCCCTGGCAGAGGGCATGGTTTGCATGCTGAAGCTGGCCCGCCAAGTTCCTTCCCAAAGCAACCGGGGTGGCAATTGCTCACATGCATATTCTCGTTGCATGCGCTCCGATGCGCGCACGGCTTTGGATTGAACTACAATGCCTATCTGCAATAAGCAAGCTGGCTTGCTCCCCCTGCACAAGGATAGACATTTGGAGCGCACCAGGTCAAAGGGAACCACGTTTCGCACTCAGGTCAACATGTGCCTACTCGGAGCAACCGAGCCACCCTGAGATGCTTTTTGGGCAGCACTTGGGTTTGGCATGGAAGGGCAGTCATCAGGTGGTCCTGGGTTGGGTTGTTCTTCTTGCGCACCTGCTGACACCTGATTTCGATTCCACCAGATTTCTTCATCTTCCCATGGCTCTTTGGATGTACCGGGGAGGGGAGGGGGAGCAACCAAAATTGAGCCCCGCTGATGGCTTGAATCAAATAAGGGAAGTGTTCTAGATGGTATTGGGAAACCACAAGTGCGCCTTTGGAGAAGTGCAAAACTAAAGCCAAAAGGAAACCCTCACGAAAGGTCCCTTCTTTTGAGAAACACGCATGTGGGGGCGGGAGGGTTGTGAAAGGGCGCTGAGTGGCCCTTTAGCTGGCCGTGGTCTCCCAGCGACTTCGCAAGTAAAATCCGGCAACGTGGAAATTCTGGCAATGTGAATCAACAAAAGGGTCCCAATTGTCCAACCTGCGGACCCATTGTGAAGCAAATGTATGTTACGTAAAATGTGTGTTCGAGCCATGCTTTTCTGCTCAATGCTTCGAAAAGCGTTCAGTCCTTGAAAAACAGGGCACTTTGTTTTCAATCTGTTCGGAGGAAGACGAGCAATTGCTACTTATTTTTGATATGTTGCGCTCGTTTGCGAATATGTGCTGTGGTTTTGCGAATATGTGCGCTCGTTTTGAACTGCTGTCAAACATGCTTCCAGTCTGGATAGCCGTTTTCGTCTGTTGCATAATTGGCAAGTCATCCAAGACTGATTCAATGCAACTACATGAGACCCCCGGATTTTCCAAGGGTCAGAATCATGGACCTCTCCAGCAACCGCTTCAAAGTGAGCCAACATGACAGCGACATATTCCTAAAATCACGGCTATTCAACCCCTTTTTTGGTGAGCACTTTCTGGCAAGGCTGTCCCAAGTTCCCGAGCTTCAAGCTGTCCCTCTGGCGCCATGTTTGGAGCTTCGAAAACTGGCAAACTGAGCGACTGAGACTCGGAGAATTCTGTCAAGCCCAAACCCCACATCGAATTAGAGCTGGCAAATGCGAGGGCCGACACCGTGGGCCTGCGCTAACTTCTCTTCTGCAACAAGCAAGCTACCTCGGTCGCGACGGTCCCTTTCCTTCCCTTCCCTTCCCTTCCCTTCTTTTTTGCCTTCCTTGAATTCTTCGTTTGATTGAAGCGATTCTTCAATTCAAACCTAATCAGTTTCTGTGATGCCTGTTCTCTTGCTCCTGGGGCTGGTGGCTGGCTTCCGGGTAGAACATTTGGAACTACGGAACGCAACGTCAGAGTCACAAACAAAGACCTGGTAAGAAGTCTGGCTGGGAGTGTCCCCTGGGGTTCCCTGCTAAAATGGTGTCCCGACACTTTCCTTTAAGAAGCAAGAGAAGGGCCAACTTAGGCTTCATCGTTTGTTGTAGCCCGCTTGACGAGGAACTGTAAGGGCTCTCTTTTGGTCTCAAACTGGAGCCCTTCCTTTCTCGACAATCCAAATTGCCCAGACAAAGGGAACCCGCTTTGAGGCGTATCCATGTTTTCTGGGGAGCCCGCCAAGCAACAAGGGATCTACAGGGTGCTTTCACTTTTACCTGCCCACAGCGGCGAAGCAAAGCCAGAGACTCAAATTGGACATGTGGGAAGAGATAATGCCCTTGCCCCCTGCAAGTCTGCACCCAACCATGTAAAGCTGCGTCGAACAATGCAATCCCAAGCTCCTCCACGTCGGACGGTCCTTTTTAGATGGAGTTGATCTAGGCACCAGGTGTCATGCTGCGAGGATGTAGTTTTAGAGTGGGGGCCCAAGCCAAACAGCAAACATCTTTGGCACTGGCCTTGACTCAACAAGCTGTCCCCGTTTCGACTTCTGGGGCCGAAACCCACCAGAAGCTCCGAACATAGGCGTCAGTCACGTTCTGAGAGGGTACCTCCATGTTTGATGGTTACATAGGAATGCCTGTCCTTCTCCAACTGGGCGCGCGTCATAGTGCTGAAGAATGCTTGAGCCAGCTGAACGTAGACACATATTGCCAGCTTTCTCAAGTGACATTGGATTGTGATGAGAAACCAACTTTTCTTGATTGTGCTCTGGTATGCCCAATGCAATGCTTGACCACATGAAGGCAAACAATAACCGTTCTTCACGCATTCCGTTTGCGCAGCACGCACGCCATCTGACGGCAAAACACATCCAACTGAGACCCAAGCGGCCTGTCTAAGTCAGAGATCAGCAAGGTTCCACACTAAACCTGCCAGACATCTGATGTAGAGCCAATTGCCTGGTGAAACACTCTCAACGACTGAAAGCACTGGCAGCTTTGAGTCGCAACATCAAACGATCACGGCACTCGGCTGGGCGGTGGTAAAGTTGTGCTTCTGTCGGCTGTGCTTGGTCCACTCACATTGCGCCTTCAAACCTGAATAAGTCGGAAGAGTGCAGTTCAGCCGCGGCCCACCTTGAGTCGCCATGACAGCATCATAGGCCAAGCAGGTTGCCTCTTGAACAGCGTTGTAGTTGTTGCGGAAATCTCCGCTGCAGTTCATGCCAATGACACTGGTGTAGGCGATGCAAATGCCGAAGTTATAGGTTGGGTTGTAGCCGCAAGGCGAGCAACCGCTCCCCCAATCTTCCCCCGGGTGTCCAATGACGCTCACCTTGGACTGGTTTTCCGAGGCGTTTTGCAGCAGCCAAAAGTCCTCAGGGCTCCGCTTTTGGCTTTTGCTCACACCTTGGAAACACACCACCACCCTCCTGTGTGAGGGTACGAACAAGCAAGCAAGCAAGCAAGCAAGCAAGCAAGCAAGCAAGCAAGCAAGCAAGCAAGCAAGCAAGCAAGCAAGCAAGCAAGCAAGCAAGCAAGCAAGCAAGCAAGCAAGCAAGCAAGCAAGCACACCCCACCCACCCCACCCCACCCCACCCCACCCCACCTCACCCCAACCCAACCCAACCCAACCCAACCCAGGGCAGTGCGACCTTTTCCCAACAACAAAAACACACATTCTTCGACTCTCCTGGCCCAGCTGGTCAGTGAGGATGCCCATGCCATAGGCACATGAGCCTTCGCCATTGGGCCCCTCGCACCAGGTGTCGCCCAGCGTTTTGGAGGCCTGCATGTCCTCACCAGGCAAGGGGTGGGAGGGGTGGGGGGAGGGATTCCATCTGGCTGTCCCCGAAATGAACCTGACCAAAGCCGGTCATAAAGATGGGTCCAAGGGTTGTGCACCCAAGCTTGGGGTGAGAGGATTTGACCAGCACATACCAGCACCAAAGTCGATCTAACCAAAACCGGCTAGAACATGGATAGGTTGGATATCGTTCGGGTATGTGGGCAAGATCTAAGAAGCTCGCTTCCCATCAATGTCCAGCAGGTGTCCAACGATGGATTTTTGTGAGCTTTCACGCACCGTGTGGGGAGGCACTCAACATCTAGCCAAATTGGAGTAGAGACTCAAAGGAAACCGAAAGGGCAAAAAGGGAACCAAAAGGAAGCCGAAAAACGGACACCAAAGCAGAAACCAACAAGGAAACTATATAAGAAGAACGCCAAAACGGACACCAAAAAGGTTGATCACTTTGCACAGTGTCTGCCAGGGACTTCGTGGTGATAAAGCCGCCCTGCTCCTGAAAGACGAGCGTCAAAGATGCGTACCCCGAAAAGTGGCTCGTTTGCTCTTGGCTTGCCTCCGCAACCATCCAACAGCCAAGAGGACTGGCGGCCCGCGTGTTCTCACCTGCCCGTTTTGGGACCTGCACCCACGGCCAGGATGGCGGTACAAAACTAGAAGGCACACCTGCTTGAGCAGACAGCAGCATGGGGCTACCCGAGTATCATGGAGAGGGCACTTTTGCGCAAAATATGCACAAGTGTCCGCTTCCCGTTGCTGTGTTTATGGGGGAGAGCTGTACCAACTGGATAGCTAGTTTGACCATAGCCGACACTTCGAACCCTAATGGATGACACGTGAAAATGCGCAAGCTCCCTCTCCAAAAGGAAAGTTGTCTTCCAATAGTCTGTGGAGCGTTTCCTTCACCTTCCTTGGATGCACCCGATTTAAAGGCACCAGTGACTGTCTGGAGACATGTCAAACACGACAAATGACCACTGGACCAAGGGCCAATAAACTGGGAAACCACGCTTTCCAATATCCTTGGAGAGCCACACGCACGGTGCGCATGACAGGAAGCTACGATGAGCATGGGCAAACAGCCCACTGAGAACCACACATGAGAACAAATCATGATGAGGTGTGTGTGTGTGTCAAAATAGTAGTAGGAGGAGCCCCAAAACTGGCTGTGGCGATTTCCGATGAGGCCAACCTCAAAATAGGTGCCCAAACCAAACAACGGGGGGTGCCACACCCGAGGCAGGTGCCCTGCCTTAGGCAGCGTAAAGAGATCGAAGAAGAAGGTCGCCAAATCCACTGCAGAGCTGGCAATGTTGCCCATGGTCCAGCCATTCAGGCAGGAGTCGTACAACAAATCTTCGAAGACCTGGGGTTGTGAAAAAGAAATCAGAGCCCCCTTTTACACGTCTTCTTGCAAACATGCCCAAAAAAAACACATTGTGATGTGGCTTCCATCTTTAAGCATGACCGTAAGGATTTCGTGATACAGTAAAAGCAGACGGAAATCGGTTGGATTCGCGGTTTCCATTGGAAGGCTGTCCATTCTTTTCAAGACCCACCTGGGTCCCGTTTTCGGCCATCCAGTATTTCCAAGCGTACTGGTGCGCAAAGCCCGGGTACTGCGCACACCGCCCGAGGCGGGAGAAGCTGGTGTGCGAATACCGTCCCGATCGGAAGAGCTCCCGAGGGATGACATGAAGCTGGTCCAGGTCCTAGGAAAAAAACTGAATTATCTAGCCTATAATATTAGGTGCATATATATATATATATATATATATGTAAACGTATGGTACATACGCATGTCTACATACGGTGTACATATTAGAATATATACATATGTACCAGTGTGTGCAAAAGCTAGGTTTTTTTGCCTCTAGTGCCAAAGACACCGGAAACTAACCATTTGGATTTCCATCAGCCTCAACACCAGGCGCATCGCGGAGGCCAAAAAAAGCAGGCCTACGAAGCCCAACCTGGGAAACGCGAACACGTGCCCGTCCTGCCAAGACCACATGCCATGCACCTGGACCAAGAGCAAGCCCAGAAGCACGTAGTTGGCCCCGGAATACATGGCACAGGACCCGGGCGCGCAGGCAAAGCCCTGCCTGGCTGCGCTTTGCAGGTAGACCATGGGCCCCGCATCATCGCCTGAGAAGGCCATGGTAAAATGCTCCAGGAAGAAGTCATCATAATCCTTCATGCCGCTGGTCATTCCCATGAGATCTCTCACCACCACTTGCCTGACCTGCAAAGGCAGCCAAAAGGAGACCCCTGCAACCTCGTTGACCAAATGTAAACCAATTTCCTATTTCAAGCTCTTGGGACTTTTGCTTGAGCAATGGGGATAAGGATCCCCTTCATAGCAAAGCCCATCCCCAAAGCTGGTTGCCGGTTTTTTTCTCTCTTCGCCTGAGGGCCCCAAAGCTGCTCCATGCTCTTGTTCCAGAGCCTTCGCATCACGGGATCGATCCACTGCATCGCCGGGTCGTCCAGGTTCAGCAGCCCCGACTCCACCGCCTGCATGACCATGACGGCGGTCCAGGGCTTGGTCACCGATCCCAGGGGCACCAAGGAGTCCGGCCTGGAACTCTTTCTCGGGGCCCTTTCTGGGGCCGGGACAAGGGAAACCGGCCTGGAGAAAAGGGACACCATTTTTGGAGAGGTCCCCGATTTTCAGACAAAACCCGCATGAAGAAACTCTAGGCCATGAAACTCCAAGCCACTGTTGATCAACCCCGTTTGGTAGGGGAGTTGAAACCAATTGTGCGAGCAACCCTGGCTTACGGCCTCAAGGGACGGCGATTCCAAATGTTGTTCACTCCGGCGGCCAGAGCCACACGGCCTTGCGTGTTCACAAAGCCGAAGCTGAAGCTCATGTTGTACTTCAACGCCATCTGGTCCAGAACCGGCTGCAGCGCTTTCTCAACATCTTCCAGCGTTGCCCAAGCTCTGATCAAGGTGGCCAGAGCCAGGGCAAATCGAAGGGCCATGGCCATGGTCAGACAGGCAACTGCATGTCTTGACCCAAAGGCTAAGGTGCATGCACGTCAAAGCGACTTCTGTAATTCCACGCCCCTCCGAGCTACCAAGCAAACCAGCACCAAACCCTTCAAGTCCGGTGTGAGGGCTCAGCTGGAAGGAATGCGTCAAATTCAGCTCTCTCCAATTGGCACCAGTCTTATGCAGGCTTGCCGGCTTGTCATGAAAAACTGCCAGGTGCTCGTGACTGATCGCTCAATGCCTGGTTCACCTTCCGCCCAACCGGAAAATCGGAAGGATTGAAAGCGCCACAGCTCAACTTCTATGGCAAAGTCAGATGAACCTGGACGGGGAAGGGCTTTGCAAGAAGCCAAATGGACTTCACCAACTGCATCTTGGACCCATGAGGTTGGAGCGATTTATTTGGCATCTGCGCTTTCGCTTTCAACGTCTTACCATGTGGTTTCAGGAAGAACCGCCAATTTGGGTTTGGAGTGATTTCAATCCGCAGCTTGTCTTGGCCACTCAGGCGGCGCACTTTTCCCCGCGGGGCTTCACACACTCACGGCGCGTTGTCGGGGTCCGGCAGGAAGATCCTCATCCGTTCGGCTGGCCCAACCTCGGGATGTCGGGGTCGCTAAAGTGAAGTTCTTTGCTGGAAAGGATCCAACAAGCTTGGGTTGTTCTCACGTGGGTTGTTCAAAGGGCCTTCCAAAAGTGTCTAACTCCAATATGGTTCTGCTCCAATGGTTTCTTCTCTCAAAAGTGGTTGTTCCGAACCAAAATAATTTCAATTGGCTGTTCTCAGAAGGGGCTGCTTCCAAATTGTTTTTTGTCAACACCAACTCCCCCCCTCTTGACGTGACTCGGGCCTTCAGCTCCGACATGTCGTCAGCAGAGAGAGCCTGGCAGTCCCTTCTTTGGGTCGCAAAATCAATTGCCCCGTTTGGCTCAAAGGGAAACCGAAAACCACCCATTTCGGGTTCCCGGTTTGCTGCTGGGCGTCGCCTATTTGCTCGTTGGGGGTCGGCGAACGCATCTCAAAAGGACAACCGTTCTTGGCAACTCACTAGGCAAAGCCCAGACCATTTTACTGCCAGACGTGGTGTTGGGGGGTGAGAAATTCCCCCCCCCCCATGTTCTCGCAATACTTGCAACCTGATCTGTCCATATCTGCCCAACATTGACCTCTTCACCAATATAGACACACATCAAGGTAGGGGGATCCAAAACGCCAGGTGTTCCTTTTGGTTTCTCTTCAACCCAACCCAAAGGTGCCCCAACACCACAACCACACGCCCGCCCCAACGATCCCGCATTCACGCGCTGAGCCGCTGGCCCACCCCAAGATGTCCAGGTTCTCCGCCATCCGCGCATCGCTGGAGCTGGACCTCAGCTGCGCTTGGCTCGGGGCCAAGTGACACGCTCAAACCAAGTGAGCCTTCGAATGGCGAAAACGGAAACGCCAAAAATCCGAAATTCACGTCTAGTCCCAACAAATGTTCAATGAACCCAACTGTTGAATGAACCCAACTGAGTAGGTTGGTTCTTGCGCGCTCTTGGCGTCAATGCCAATTTTCTGTCAGAGCCTGCAGGGATCTAGTGATTCATGAAACGGATTGACAAGGAGGCTGGGATCGTCCCGCCCTCCTCCGACAGGAACTGGCTGCTGCTTGCTGATCTGGGTCCCGACATGGACGTCCGGCTAGGGCTCGCCTTGCTGCGGCTCTGCGCCGTGCAAACCGGGCTCACCTTCCTGTGGCTCTGCAATGCCATTGTGCCCAAACTGATCATTGTGCATGCCAGGCTCGCCTTGCTGTGGCTCTGCCATGCCATCATGCCCAAACTGGCCATCGTGCATGCCGGGCTCGCCTTGCTGTGGCTCTGCCATGCTATCGTGCCCGAACTGACCATCGTGCATGCCGGGCTCACCTTCCTGTGGCTCTGCCATGCCCTCATGCACGAACTGATCACCGTGCATGCCTGGCTCGCCTTGCTGCGGCTCTGCCATGCCATCATGCCCAACCTGATCATCATGCATGCCGGGCTCGCCTTGCTGCGGCTCTGCCATGCCGTCGTGCACAAACTGATCATCGTGCATGCCGGGCTCGCCTTGCTGCGGCTCTGCACCGTGCATACCGGGCTCACCTTCATGTGGCTCTGCCATGCCATCGTGCCCAAACTCATCACCGTGCATGCCTGGCTCACCTTGCTGCGGCTCTGCCATGCCGTCATGCCCGAACTGACCATCGTGCATGCCGGGCTCACCTTCCTGTGGCTCTGCCATGCCGTCATGCCCAAACTGATCACCGTGCATGCCTGGCTCGCCTTGCTGTGGCTCTGCCATGCCATCATGCCCAAACTGACCATCGTGCATGCCAGGCTCGCCTTGCTGTGGCTCTGCCATGCCGTCATGCCCGAACTGATCACCGTGCATACCGGGCTCACCTTGCTGTGCGTGCCCGAACTGACCATCGTGCATGCCAGGCTCACCTTCCTGTGGCTCTGCCATGCCGTCATGCCCGAACTGATCATCGTGCATGCCGGGGTCACCTTCTTGTGGCTCTGCCATGCCGTCATGCCCGGACTGATCACTGTGCATGCCGGGCTCACCTTGTTGTGGCTCTGCCATGCCATCGTGCCCGAACTGACCATCGTTCATGCCAGGCTCACCTTGCTGTGGCTCTGCCATGCCATCGTGCCCGAACTGACCATCGTTCATGCCAGGCTCACCTTGCTGTGGCTCTGCCATGCCATCGTGCCCGAACTGACCATCGTTCATGCCAGGCTCACCTTGCTGTGGCTCTGCCATGCCATGGTGCCCGAACTGACCATCATGCATGTCGGGCTCACCTTGCTGTGGCTCTGCAACGCCATTGAATTCACCAAACTGGTTTTGCTCTGCAACTGGTTGCCTTTGTCCTGGTGGAAAATGTCCGTTTCCAGCAAACTCGTCAGCGCCTTGGCCTTCCGGAAGTGCTTTGCCTTCCCCGGGGAACTTTGCCCCTGCAGGCTGAAATTGCCCGTCTGGAAAGCCAGGTCCATCGCCACCTGAAGGCTGTTGTCAAAGGCCTGTTCCGAACTCCCCCAAAATGGCCTACAGGAACCCCCCCCATCCCACTTTTCTAGTGGTTGTTTCCCCATTATTTTCGACCATCGTTCTTTTCGAATCGGGTTCCCCGGGTCTCTGGAGGTTTTCTAGAAAGAAGGATTCCCGGAAAGAATGGGGGAGGTACCCCCAGAACTTTGCTACTCTCCCCAAAAACACGCAGCCAGGCGCCAGCTTTGACTCCAACTTTCCCGCGTCGCCTTGCGCGAACTCCCCGGCAGATTCTCCGGGCTCTTGGAAACCCTCCTGTCGCTCTGGCTCCTGTGGTCGACCGAGAAAGCTCGGGGGTTCCCACCCTGTCCCCTCCTTGTTTCCTGAAAAAAAAAACATGGAAAGGCCCTGCAACCTGTTTGATCAAACTTTGTTCACGCTGTTGTTTGGTTTGTTCCAACCAAAAACGCCAGGTTAAGCTCCAAGCATTAAGCTGCACACGTCAAGGGTTCCCTGGTACTTGCCCAAAACGGGAAACCAAATGTCCCCCTTTTTCGAAGTTGAGTATCTAGTCTAGAGACAGACCCTCCATGAACCAACAGGGCCAACCCAAAAGCTCAACGTTTGACCGCCCATCCGTCAGGGGTGAGACCAATCTCCAATGGACCAATCAGTGCAAAGAGCAAAGCTTGGTGGAACAACCGGCCCCTGTACCCCTTGAAAGGGAAACCAAAAGGAGGTTGTTTAAACAAGCGTGTCCAAAGCAGTTTGGGCTCAAAAGGCCGTTTTGAGATCCAGAACCTACCAATGGATACTGCAGGTGGCCTCAAAACGCTCAAACAGGGAGCTGCCTGATTCCCCAATTACTTCTGGCTTCCTCACGCTTTTATGGACATTTAATTTTCTGGTGCTTTGAGGGTTTATGGGGTTGTGCTCTTTTGAGGGTATCCTGTCTTAAAGGAAAACCAAAAGGAAAACCCACCATTTTTTCCCCTTGACACATCCCACATAGTTCACCCAGGTTCCCCCTTCCCACCAAAACTAGACAAGCCAGTCCCCAACCAAAACTTATGACACATACCCTGTTTCAAGAAGCAAGGCTCTGGCCGGATCCTCCTCGGCCACCTGCACAAGGCCCACATCGATGGCGCCACCCGTCTGCAGCAGCACCGAGGTATGGCCGTCCTCCGTGATGGGGCTGCCAGCTGCGTGCACGATCTGCCCCGGGAGCACCTGGCAACTGGGTCGCGTTGGGCTGCACATCGGTTTCCCCCCAAAAAGGTTTACAAGTTGATGGGTCCCGGACCCAACAAGGGTCCTTTGAAATGGGGGAGGGGGGTGAACCATATATGGCTTTTCCGAAGTTGGGTATAGATTTTGATGGGTCCCAGACCCTTTGGTGGAACGAATGTGTTCAAACTCCAGAGGTTCGTGAGAACCTGCGAGCTTGCAACGGCTAACGCGGAAAACAGCATCTGACTCGACGCGCGCATGGCTCGCCCCACCTCCCCGATTTCGGAGCCCCAGACCGGGCCATGCTCGTCAGCTGCAAAGACAGGACCCTGCTCCACCACCTCAGGCAGGACGGCTCGAACGCGTCCGAAGGCATCCAAGCATCCGCGCCTGCAGCGGCGTACCTGGGAGCAACTGCCCTCACAACAAATGCGACTCCCGAGCTGATTTCTCTTTTGCGTTTCATTTCCGGGCCCGCGGCCCATGTGGATTGCCGGTGCCTTGTAGTCCTGCGCTACCATGTCCTCCTCGCGATGGAACTCGGCCACTCGCGAGGAATCCCCAAAATCCTTGGGTGCGGGGACCCCCCTTCATTTAGTCTTCAAGGGGAAATGGGTGAATGGAATTCCACGGGGTCTCCCCGGCCCCTCCTTGGTTTCGCTCGTGCCTTCGCAAAGAATGCACTAAAACTCAGGGAATTCCAGAATTCCCCCTTCCCCACTTCGTTCGATGGCAAACTGCGCCTCGGCCTTTGCTCTGAACTGGGCCACGTCTTCCGGGTCGGCCACCTTGACTCGAGATGCCTCGCACGGGGTAGTCCGCACAGCCTACTGTAAAAGTTTCTTGATCAACGGTTGGGTTTTCTTATCTATAGGGACACCAGAAATACATGGGGAGACTTGTCATGCACCTACCTTTGAGGCTAAAGCTTTGTTTGAGGTTTCATTCTTCACCCAGAATCTCCACTAAGGATTGGTCCACCAACCGTTAAATCTCGTGAACATCCAACCCTTCAAACCTGAGAATTCTCATCCAGCCTGGCAACCGGGTGTTCCAAGCCATGCAACGCCGCGCCTCGATGGCGCCTCCCCGGGCCAGGGCGATCAAGGTGTGCCCGTCTTCGGTCACTGGCGGCCCCGCAGCCTCCAGCAAGTGGCCAGCAAAGACCTGGAGGCGTCAGGCCAAGGTGACCCTTGGCTGGAACCCTGAACATCGGGGTTCCGTTTGGCATGGTGAAACTATGTTGAGAAACCCGAATTCTTCTGCGCCCGTTTCACCTGTTGACTTTGGGTCCAAGCTGGCAAGGTAGTCCCCGTCAAACAGGCACCCCCTTCTGAATTGCAATTTGGAGGTTAAAACGGCCTAAACCACCAATTCAAACTCACCGCTCAACCCCCTTGTTTGGAACCGGGTTGAAATTCCACCATCAAAACGGGAAAAACCCAGGTCTGAGAATGGGAGTCATATCCAACAAATTCAGCTAGAACCTCTGCAGGGTTGTCCTTGTCTCTTTGTGTTTGAGGACATGTTTGGCAAACTGCCCAAGATATTTTTGGAGCATCTTCCTGAATGCGCACTCACAAGCTCAGCCGCGGACTTCACCGCTCATCTGACCCCAGATAGGTCCGTGATGATCCTCAGGCTCGGCAATGTGCAGCTCAATGTGGTTCCCATGCGGAATGGCGTAGGCAATGCAAACACGCGATTGCCTATCGTCCGAGGTCAGGCGCTCCCTTCGCTCTCTTCGGCTGTTTGGGGCTCCCGCCGTAGCCATGATTGGTGCGTCACGCACCACTTCCAGAATGGTGCCTAAGAAACGCCATCAGAAAAGGCAACTACAGAAACATGCCAAAGTACTCAGAGAGTTCGTGTTTATTCAAAGCCACTACATGCGTATATGACGGCTGTCTGAAGTTCCTTGTTCCGGAAACTGCCATCTTCGCGGGAAAAAAGATAGCTTTCGCGGACCCCATCGCGGAACTTTCGCGGGGCTGTTTTCAGAACATTCATCACAAAAGTAGTACACGAACTTTCGCAGCCCCAGCTCGAAAGTCGCAGCTCTTCAGTGCGAAAGTAGTACTAAAAGTAAGCTTCCGCAGCCCGGCTTGAATACAAAAGTAGTACACGAGCTAAACTTCCTCAGCCTCGAAAGTCAAAACTTTTTCATACGAAAGTAGTACACAAAGTGAACTTCCGCAGCCCCAGCTCGAAAGTCACAAGCTTTCAGTTCCGAAGTAGCACGCGAAGCGCGCTTCCGCAGCTCCAGCTCACAAGCCGTGAGCTACGCGCTGTCCGGAAACTGGCGGGGAGGTCCGTCGACTTTCGCGAAACTTTCGCGGATCTTGCCCCGACAGCTTCAAAACTCCCAGAAGCTGGTTTCTGCTGGCTGGGGGTTGCTTTTGCAGCGGCGTATTCTTGCGGCGACCCTCAGGCTGCGCGTTCTCCGACCAACTCTAGTCTGCTGGCATTCTGCGCACACTGCCGATAAATACACATAGTTCATCACTCCAGCTTCCTGTTAGCAAGCCACACAAAACCTTCGAGGAAAAAAAATAACTTTCGCGACCCCCTTCGCGGAACTTTCGCGAAGGTCAATGCTAAGACCAAAAAGTATTCCCCTTCATAGCTCAATACAAGGACCTTTCGGACGACTCTCATATACAATGCCTATGTGCATAAACATATGAACATATACATATGCACACCGAATTGAAACATACTTATGTTTACCCGCCATGGATCCACAGTTGGTTGCCTTAGATCTCCGACCAAGTCTTCCTTCAGTGCGTGCATCTGAACACTGGAAATACGCGCTCCAAGATGATCGAGTTGCGGAAGACTAGAGACAAGTACATGGAGAACCCTAGTTAACAATTCCGGAAGCAAATGATTTACCTTTCAAGGCTGAAGTCGATCTTGAAAACCAGATACTGCACAATTTGAATGGAAGTGTCCATGTTGTTGAAGAATGCGCAGCAAATTGGTGGATAAATTTGGGCACCTGCATTTTAAACGAAGAAGCATGCTTCTCCTGGGTTCAGGATTCAGCAACCTGCATGCAAATTCCTGGGCAACCTGAAGCTTGAATCCATTTTGCTTGGGGTGGTACACACATTTACCCAAGTAAGCGCATCCAGGTTTGGGAAAATAGTGCCACTATATATTCTGGTTTGTCTGTTTTGTTAGGATTGTTCTTCTCGCATGCAAACATGTTCCAAGAACATGTGGGGATTCTGCAATCATGCTATGTATCAACCGTCTGGTCAAGCTTTTTTAGAATGGAACCCTCGTACATCTAAAATCCGGCTATCCAACGCTTCTTGGTCGCCAGGGAACTACTGTATGGAAGCCTCTCCAAGTCCTGCTCCTAAGAAACTATAATAACTTTTTGTGTACATTTGTGAAGTGCTTGTATTTTGTTACAAACAAAGCGTATTCAAAGGCAGGCACCTTGAGGCTCAGGTCATGACAGCATTGCACTGATTCGAAGCATATGACTACCTTCGAACAAGCTCAAAGGACAGCTTCAAGCCCCAAATGGACAGCTTCACTTTGCCTTTTTCAAGACCGACAAACCCACCAGAAAGGCTGGCAATGGAAACCCAAGGAAGGACACGAATACGCGCTGACGGACAGACCGGCAACTCACTCGACGGCTGAAAGCTATGAGGCCCCTGCCTGCGTCCACTGCAGGACCACGGAAGGCTCTGGGCCTCGATTTCATTGGCCTCACCTGTTCGCTCGGAGAGGCCGAGGACCTCGGAGTGAAACCGAACGGGGCAGGCTCTGAGTGGCATCCTGAATCCTGAAGACTTTAAGTTCAGCGCCAGATTTGAGGGAATTGGACTCAAGGATAACTTTGTTCAACTATGTTTAACTCCTTTTTTCTGTTTCTTGTTTGTTTCATTTTTTACCTGTTGTTTTCCGCACGGATCCAATCAAACAAAACGATTGCAACCGTTTTACCAGCGAGGCGGTCCAATACCTCCAATGCCGTCCAGCCGCGAAAATGCGCCCAACCTCGCAACGGGCAGTGCTCGCATCACTCACTGGGGAGAGCAGCCCTAGAGGATCAAACCTGTACGTCGAGTCCCCTGAGTCCCCTGGAAAAGGCGTTAGTGTCATTTGGTGCTGACTCGTTTGCATCCTCTGCAAACCATTCGGCACTTGCCGCTGATTTGGCTGGGGCTTGGGCATCCAAAGCAGGGCAATGGCCGCGAAGAGGAAGATCCCCACCTACGAGCATTGAAGCCAAGCGAGTCCTGGCCATCCCCACCCCAGCCATGCCTTTTGGCGGAGGCTTACTCGACGGAGTAGAAACTGCAGGCCTGAGAGCATGTCCTCGCAGGCTGTTCCGAACCTCATGCTCGACATGAAAAAAGTGTGTCCACATGGCTCTCAACAAAAATCAAGACCTCGCATTGTGGTTGACCTGCACGTTTGCACCAACCCGAGCTGGGAGAGTGCGGTGTGTTTCACTCATGCCCCAATATGTTTTTCACAATTGTTCATAACAGTCACAACCTTCTCGGTGGGATTCGGGTTCGCAAAGCCAAACGATCGAACTCCAACGCTCTCCTGCCGCCGATGGTCGTCCTGCCCAAGAACCTTTTTCATGGCAGTCCTTATCTCGCTGTGTATGGGTTAGGCTTTGAATTTGTCATCTCCAACGCATTAGGTTATGTTAATATGGCGAGGCCAGTGTTTCACAGCCCTGACTATGCAGGTCAATGCGCCAGGTCTCGAGCGACTGGTTCCCTTTGCACATTGGTCACAGAGTCATACACCATACTCATCTTGACACATTCCAAAGATGATAGTGCGTCAAAAGTAGGACCCCTCGAATTTATAGCGTCACGCAAATTCTGAAATTAGCGAACTAGCTTTAACACAGCCTCACTTGTGCCATGGTCAAAACTTCGTAGCGGTTCCCTCAATAGAAATCCGTTTCCTCAATTCTCCAAGATGTCTATGACCATCCAACTCAACCTAAGGGGTTCAGAAAAACGCATGAGGATCTTTGCGTCGGTCCTCATCGGGCGGGCACCACTTGACCTCTCTCACCTGACAGTCACCCAACGCCGGCGCCATTACCAGGCCTAGTTGTCGTGTTTGAAAAACAGGTCGGTTTCACTGGGAAATTAAGTTGAAAACTACAGGCCACACAAAGAATCCAAGGGCGTTTTTCAGGGGCCTGGAAAGGAAGTGCCCTTTGATCCGTTCAGTTTCAACAACCCTTTTTGAAAAAAAAAAAGGAAAAAAAAAACAACAACAACAACAAACCCCCCCCCCAAAAAAAAAAAACAATCAGCTGGGAGAGGTTGGAGGAAGCAGTTCTCTTCCCTAGCAGCAAGGCCCCTGGTGCACGCACACAAGGGCGTCTTGCCGCGGTCAACGTCGCTCATTTGCAACCCTTGCAAAAGGTGATCACATGTGATCCACTTCTGTGTCACCTCAAAGTTGTCAAACTGGTTTCCAGCTGGCTTCCCGTGCACCCTCGAGCACAGCAAACAAATCACCAGGTTTGCAAGCCGAGGAAACGAGAGGTCCTCATGAAAGGCTCTTAGGGCTACCGAAGTGAACCTTTTCAGCTTGGGCGGGATCCAAAGTGAGCCTGCTGCCCACGAGGCCGTGCGCCCATCTCCGTCTCTTCGGAGATCTTCCCATATCTGACCACTCAGCAGAAACGCGGGACCCATCATGGCGTGTTCACAGAAAGGGCTGCTCGAAGGAATCCTTGCTGTTTCCACTTTGGAATCCTTTGAAATTCTCAAATGGGGATGTGTCAAATTGGGGGACCTTCAGAATGGTGGCTTTTCTGTTGATGATTTCCCTGCAAACCACCCAAAAAGCCATACTCTTGAAAACACACCCAAGTGAGGCCCTGCTTATGCCACGCAAAATGCACATCCAAAGACTGCGCCTCGTGGCCATCACCAGAGAGTCATGGCTGAATATTCCGAATGAGACGATGCGCGCAAGGGCTGTGATTACCTTTCTAGGCCTTGCGCGTCAAAGGCCCCTTGTGGCAAAACCTCAGGGAGTTACCCCAACACCTCAATTCACCACTTCCTGCGACAGGTATCCTCATGATGCCAAATTGCGGTGCAGAGGTTCACATTTTGCCAAAAAGCATGGGCTTTGTGCTGATGCGCCAAAGTTCAAAGTAGTCTCTGTGAACCACACGGACCTTGAGCCGATACTACCTTCTTCAACTCCCACTTCAGCCCATCAAGTGGTTTGATGGTAGGCCAGCAGGGCCACCGAACGGGTCGGGGGAAATGTGAGAACACCCGCGATGCGTCAGAATTGGGGCATTCGTTCGCAGAGTGTCAGAAGCAATCCAAAGGGGAAACTGACAATGGGCCCAACTTAACACATCATGACATTGGGCACTCGCAAGACACAAACCCAGTTGGACTCATTCAATTCTAAGTCGTGACGGAACTGGACTTCCGCATCTCAATCCACAATCCGTGCGCCCTGCGGTATGACTGCTAAGCCCTGCTGGACGGCCCAGCGCAGCAAGACCTGCGCCGGATGGCCCGGACTTGCTCAAATGTTCCACCGAGCTTGCTGATTCATTGGATCAATGCTGAGTCAATCATCCGTGTTCACGCAAGAAGGCTATGTTCAGCCCTTAGGCCCTTAGGCTTTAAATGCTTTAACCCCACACCTCGGAATCCACTGGGTGTATGTCAAACAATGGAAATCCCCAAATGATAGTTTTCAAACCAATGTAAAACGGTCACCCTCAAAAACACCGGCGGCACACACACACACACACACACACGCAAATCTGTTCTACCAAACAAAAAGTCAATAGTAAAAGGGCAAAACAGTAATAAGGTGTTGTCACACATTCCCCCTGAATCACCCACCCTCCTGACTGATTGTATTTTGTGGGCGCATCCCGTATGAAGCCAACATGTTCCCGTGGCGGTTGCCATGGTTCAGCCCCCTTTCATTCCATTCAGTTCCTGAAATAGGGAGCCCCTCATTTGTCGGTTGAGTTGTGCGGCAACCCGGACCGCACCTGCGCCGGTGACCGGCCCACACGCTTCGCCACCTTCAGGACCGCCTGAGTCTTAGGTCCCAAAAAAGGGCCCGGCTTCCCGTGAAAATGTTGCTTTCGCGTAAGGGTTTTGGAGTGAGCCGGATGTTGCTCCAAACAGGATTTTTGGAGCCCCTAAATTGGGTAGCTGAATACCAACCAAAAGGAGGTCCGAAATCCGAATTGAAAAACTCCCAGTTCTCCCCGCTTGAAAATGCCCCTCCACTTTCGTGATTGTGGGAAAAAGGGTAAGCAGGAAGCCAAGGGGTATGAACAATTGTTGACTGATGACTAGAAATCACATGGCCACGAGTTTTAATAGGGAACCACCCCAAAAGTGATTGGCGGACATGAATTCCCACCTACATGATGTCCACCAAAGGGTCCCTTATTAAAATTGTTAGCCACATGCTTTTGAACATCCTCGGGGGGAGGTGCTGTTGAAAGGTGGAATCTACCTAGAAATCAGCACGGGCAGCAGCTAGTTTTTCTTGAGCCAATTATCACGTCGGTATGCCACTACCTAACAACACCCCCCGCTTTGCAGAGGAGCGTTGGTGAGAACAGTACTTTGTACATGTTTCCCTCCCAGGCCTCCTCTAGGGTCGCGACTGCGAAGACGTCGAGCCTCAGTATGGAAAGTGGCAGGTCATGGTTTGGGGCCTGTTGCATCAATGGCTGCTTCAACTGCAAGGCACTTGATCTTTGCAGGAGCAAGCCAGGTGAATCGGCCGACCACGACTTCCGTCGGGCTATACACGCATGTTACTGCATGTGGATCATTTTGAAATCAAATTCATCTGCCTTTATCAGAGGTGGTGATCTCACGACCACAGCTTCCGCTGGGCAGAAAAACGAAATGAAGGCCGGTGGGGGCGGCCGTGGATAGACCTACGGCCGCAGCTTCCGCCGGGCCTGCAAAACAGCACAGCTAATGTTGCGGCATCAATGGATGAAAGATAATGGGCTACAATCATGACATCACCACAGAAGTTGATAAAGTTCCCGCAACAAAAGCTAAACATTTGTCGTTGATGCGGGTGCTCACCATCCCCAGGGGCCTTGCCGCCATTGCTCCCATCCGTAGGACCACCCATAGTTCCAGGAGTGCCAGTCCTGACGTCCCTTGTCCTTGCTCTTGCCCTTGCCTTTGCCCTTTCCTTTGGTCTGGTAGGGCTCGGGACGAATGGACCTGGTAATCGCTCTCCATTGGGTGCTCTTTGCCTCGATGGGGTAGCTCTTTGTGCGGCCTGACGAGAACTGAGGAATTTCCAACTCGCCCGTGCTGATGGTACCTTGCGGGTCATACTTCTTCCACGATGCGCGGATGAAGCTGACCATGACATCCAGGATGGTTTCGACGTTCCCTTCCGGGACGTATTGCCCACTGTGTCCGATGATGATCGGGACCTGGTTGTTGGGAACAAAGCGGTACGCGCACATGACAGCGAATTGCATAACGGTGTAAAACCGTGCATGGTGAGCAATATACACCTCTGTCGAGACATTCAGCTCGTGAGGGTTGAGCTTGTTGGGAGTGGGGATGAACACCAATTTGGTTCCGGTGTTTTGGGAGCCCCCCCTCTCTCGCTCCTCCCTCGTCCGGCCAGGGTCCGCAACGATAGCGCGGGCAATCCGACCCAGGAAATCCAAACTTTCCGGAGTCAGCCCTTGCGTGGCGCAGTTGTAGGCGTAGAAAGGGTCAACCAAGAGGCGGTCGGACACCTTTGCGCAGCCCATCCCTTGCGCCTTGGTCAGATGCGTTTTGGCCGTCTTCCTGAGCGACGCCTCGACGGAGATTCCTCCCCGCTTCTCTCCTTCCTTTGCATGGTGCTTGGATCGGATCCACTTGCCACCGCCCCCCTGGAGGTCTTCCAAGTAGAAAACCATGTTTTGGAGAGCCGCAGCGTGCTCCAGCCGCACAACTTCTGTGGCTATCCGGGCATCCGTCCACTCAACCATGTCCGAGCGGCACTCCTTTTGCAAGTTGCCGCACCTTCTGTTCCAGCATTTCACGATCGGGTTCTTCATCATTGTCGTGAAAAAGAGGTCTTCCCAATCTGGCTCGCTCTGGTAGCGGCTCCGAAGGTTGCTCCAGCCGCGACCATGCCCTTTCTCTCCCCTGGAAAGCTCGGGCACCCGCCGAAGGGTTGCAGGTGCGATCTGATACGTCGGCCCTGCAGGTCTCTCATTCCGACAGTCTGCCAGTGCCTCCATGCCTTTTCCGCGGTCAGGGTGTTTTCACTCTTGAAAAAGCTCGGATTGACATCTTGGGGACCGGGTGTGAGCTCCGATGTTAGCGCATTGCGGTACCTTTTGCGCAGCTCCGGGTAAGCCCGATTGAAGAATAGGAACTCATTCTTGCGGGTGTGGAACGCGTAAATAATGTATGCGTTTCCAACCCAATCGGCAGACATAAACGCCTCATCGCTCGTGAAGAGTCGGATGCCGTCCTGCATCATGAGCTCCGTATGGAAAGCAATCGTGACGGGCCTTCCGGCTCGCGTTCCCGCCAGCTTCCTCATTTGCGCCTCCCAGGGTGGCGTGGGATTGAAGTAAACGTGGGCTCTGCCCGTCGACTTCGGATAGCCCCCCGGAACCAGGCCAAACTTGAAGATGCTCTCCGCCGACCTGAGGTCGCACGTGTGGTAGAGCACAGCGGGGAAGCCTCGGCGCCATAGGTCGGTTCGCTCGGGATTCCGTACCGCTCTCGGGTATTGGCCGCCCAGGTACTTTGCCGCGGTGAACTCCTCGTCAAAGGAATACAGGTTAGTCAGGATAGCCTGCTCCGTGTACTTCCTCGTGAGCTCATTGTGGTGTCCTTGAACGGCCCTCACCCGCATTGCTTGGTACGGCAATCCTTTCCAGGATGCTTCTCCCACCGGAGGTGGGCCAACCATAACTCGGAACCTCCGCGTGTTGTTGTTCCGGATGCAAACCATCAATTTACAAGGTCTCACGTTCGCGATCCGGTCGTTCAGATGCCTGACCAGCGCATCGAACTCCACGGATAGATCGATTCCTCGGAATGGCGGATGTGGCTTCCCGTCCTTAAACGCCCCACCCCTGAGGAAGTAGGACATCTTCTTCGAGATCGCCACCAACCTGTAGTCCCGGTCCATGTTCACTTTGGGGACGTGCCCCATGTCCTCGACCTCGAGCCATTCGCATTGCTCCTCAGCCGGGACCTTGGTATTGATCTTCCGGGTTTTGACCCAGTCTGCCCAAAAGATCCTTTCCTGCGTCGGGTCCTTCTGCTTTTTCGACCGGGGTTCCCCCTCAGCGTTGCCTGGCGGCGCTTTGGCCTTTGCAATCCTCGGCGTCGCCTTCACCTGGGGCTTGTCGGCCGAACCGGCAGCCGTGGGGTCAGACTCAATCTCGATGAAACCAGTCGACTGGGGTTCCCCCACAGCGCTCTTTGCAGCAGTTCCGCGCCTTGGCGGCGGCGGAGTCGGCGGTTGCTTGGATGTGCTGGCGCCCTCCGTCACGGACTCAAAAGCTACCGATTCCGCGGTGATCATGGAACCCATCCCTGCCGCCTCGGATTCATCTGCCTCTGACACCAGTTCCAAGGACACAACCGTTTCCTGGTCAAACAAGTCTCCTTCCGCGATGACAATCGACTGGCCTTCCGGCGCAGCGCGGTGCACTGGGGGTAGGTTGGTTGGGTCCCACCCGAAATCCTGGGTGTCATCACCCAGCAGGAGCCATTTGTCCTTGTCCTCATCATCGGGCACAACGGACAACCCGTGCTGCTCCGCGGTATGGCCAATGTACTGCGACATGGCGATTTCAACGCGGTCCAACTCTTCATCTGAGTTTTCCTCTCCCTTGTCGACCGCTTCGAGGATAATCTCCGCCTCGTCAACCGTGTCCCCCCGCATCTCGATGGTCATGGCGTTGTAGGACTCGTCCTCAGCCACTTTCATCCAGGCGGCCACGTCGGCATCGACTTCCTCGCCCTCCTGGTCCTGAGACCAGTCGGGCCTTTCCTCCATCGCAGCATATTCATGGAGGGCTTTGGCCAGCTTCAAACATGTGGGCCAGCCAAACAGCACAGGATCCACCGGTTCTCCTTTCACATAGCGGGAGAGCGCACCTGATCCGTTGGGCCAACAGCTGAGTGTTGATTGCCGCGTGAAGGAATTTCGACACAACCTTCCGGTTGGCATTGCTGTATGTCATATGCACGTCGTCGTACCTGTGAGCCAGCAATGTCATGACCGACGGGTCGATCGAGTCGATCGCCTTGATGCGGGTCCCATCGTCGATGCCCCCATCTGCAAGGTGTCGAAGGCAGCCGTTCATAGCCTCATTGTAATCGGAGGTGAGGCCGTAGTCCTCTGCGTCCGGGTTACTGATGAAAGTAATGTCCCGAATGCGTCCAAGCCCCACAGCCTCCTTGAAGAAGTCAAGCTGTTCAAACACGCGGGCCCTCTGAACCTTTGGCCATTCCGACGCGGCCTTCCGGCCCGCCTCCGTACGATTGAACCGTTTCTCATGGATCCATCTGCAACCCACGTACCCATAGTTGCCGAAGACATCGTTTCCTCCCCACAATACGTAAACCGAAATGGGAAGCTGTTTGATGCCTTTCTGGGAGTTGTCCTCGGCGATGAATCGCACTTTGGCCTCCATGGTGCTATAAATAGCGTCAAGCCCTTTTCCCCAGTCCATGCCGTGGTAAATGTTGCGGACGCCCTTCAGTTGTTCGGCATGGCGCAGGAAGAGTCTCCGATGACCAAAATGTCGACCGCTCTTCCGAGGGGCATGGCACAGCGCGAAATTCCGCTGGGGCATTGCGCCCTAGGACTTGGATCAAGTCCCAATAAGCCATTTCTGAGTTGCTCCCGGCTAGGGTTCCCCAGCATCACTCCCGGCGCCTGTTCTTGCGATGCGATAGTCCGAGTCACCGTGTCCGGTTCCGGGATGGTCGCGATCGCTGCCTGCGTCTGGAACTGCTTCATCAGCTTGTCCCACTCCACCAGATTGTAGATGGTGCGCTGAATGTCGAGCTCCTTCTCCAA